AGATGTCCGCCTGCACACCATTTTGCCATCGCATCCTCCTAAGAGCAGGCGTGCAAACGTCGACAAACTCATCAACGGGGCATGTAGAGAAGCAGGGAAAAGATGAGAACCGGTGTCAACAGACGGATGGGAACACTCTGTGAATTTTGAGAACCTGATGATCGATTGAGAGAAGAGTGAGAAATGACGGTAGATGAAGCAGAAGAAATGAGGTTAAAAAATTAGAACAATCGGAAAGATACGGGGAACTGGGAGCGGTTTGGAAGAAGGGACACCGATCCTAATCTTATTGGTTACAAAATCGGTGAACAACAGCCAAACTCCACGATAGTAGTAGAGAGTTAGACCAGAGGGAGTGGTGCGGTCTAGGGAGCGCTCCCTCCTGCCACATCATCATGCACACCGCCCCCTGGGTGCGGTCTCGGCCGCACTGCGACTCTCCAGGGGTACACTCCCTTTCTCTCTCTCTCTCTCTCTCCTCTTTTACTCTCTCTCTCTCTCTCTCTCCTCTCTCAACCAATCATCTTTCTTTCTTTTTCTTTTATTTTTCTCTCTCCTAACCATTTTCCCACTCCCCAATTACGGATTCAATTTGATGAAATAAGAAAAAATATGAGTTGGCGTCTACGTGGCATAGGAGAGAGTGCGTTTTCAGTGGCACCACTCCCTCCAGCCTTATACCAAAAGAAGAAAATTAGAACACGTGTAAACAAAAATATTATTTAATGGCATAAATAGACCTTCTACAAAAACCAATAACAAATGAGAAAGAATTGTAAAGACACTCATAAACAGAGGGCAATTTATGTCAAATACTTAGGAACTTTATTGTTCCTGAGACATTTTTAATATATATATATATATATATATATATATATATATATATATATATATATATATATATATATATATACTCTAATAAATGAAAATTTTTTGTCACATGTCACACTTTTATTGATTTAGCCACATGTCATTTTGAGGTTTTTATCAATTAAATTTTTTTCACATGATATTTTATGGGTTTTTCCATTTTATTAAATTTAATATATTATTTAAATGTAATAATTGCAATAAATATCATTAATTGACACTTTTTCTAATTTCAAAAATTCTAAATTAAAGCCTTATTAGTTTCTAATGTTTGTTTATCTTAGTTTAAATTTAGAAAAAAAAAAACACTTTAATTTTTATAATTCATTATTTTTTTTAATTTTCCTTATAAATTCAAGATTTCTCAAAATGTAAAGAATTTCATAATTATTTTTTTTATAAATAAACTCATATAATAGGGATGGACAGTTTGTCCCAAACCTCGATCTCGTACCGGTATCGGACCGTACTGGAATTTAAAAATACGGGAAGGTATTTGGTACTCCAAATACATAAAATTCGGAAATCGGTACTGCCGGTACCGGTACTCGGTTTTTCCCTTGATGCTTCTAAGCCGCTTTGAATTGGCATGTGCCCGTTGATGAATCACCAATCCATTTAGCCGTCACATCAGCCGAGAAGACGGACTTGCCGGTATCGTCAAATAGAGTATAGAATCCTTCTTCCGCTCTAGTGGTGGGTTTATCTTTTCATTAAGTAGCCCCTCATTAACCTCGTACACTGAGTCAAGCAACTTCTCCTTTTCTGTCATGAAGAGGAAGTGAGATGATGACCATGCGGCTGGGAAAAATCCATATCAATCCATTTCTTCTATAAGAGAATTGGATCCCGAGCCAGACCTAAGAAATGAAATTAGATGCCGATTTCATTCCAGTAGTACCCGGTGATGTTAATTCAGTTCGGTATTCGATATTCACTTTTAATCAAATTCGGTATTCGGGAAATCGGAAATGGTAAGGGTCGGCACCGATTCTGTCCTACACTCATCTAGTAATGAGCAATTTATGCCAAATCCCGATCACGTATCGGTACCAAACCGGAACCGGTACCGAACCGTACCGTACCGTACCGAATTTAAAAATATGGGACAGTACTTGGTACTCCAAATACATGAAATTCGGAAATTGATACCGTTGGTACCGGTACCATTCCCGGTACCGGTGATGTTAATTCGGTTCGGTACTCGAGATTGACTTTCGATCAAATTCGGTAACGGGACGGGTCGGTACCGATTCCGTCCCACGCTCATCCCTACCACCTTTTGTGTGTGTGTGTGTGTGTGTGTATATATATATATATATATATATATATATATATATATATATATGGGAAAACTACAATAAAGTCCCTATATATTGGCCTCATAATCGATTTAGTCCCCATATATATATTTTTTATTCAATTAAGTCCCAAATACAGGTAATCGTATTCAATTTAACCCTTTGACCCGGTCAACAGGTCATCCAACTTTCAAAAATTACATTTTTGGCCCAGATTTCAAAATTTATTACAAATCTGGTCCAAAATTTACACTTTTGGCCCATATTTTAAATTTTGTTACAAATTTGGTCCAAACTTAAACCTTTTTGCCCAAATTTTAGAATTTTATTATGAATTCATCCTAACTTTAGTTTTATTTACAATTTTTTTTTCTCAAAGAATTGTTTCTAATATGTTTTTTCTTTATAAAATCATATTTATACAAGAAAAACATATTTTCACTTACAAATCTTATATTTTCTATATAAAAACTTTTTTTAAAATTTTTTTTTGTATATGAAATATATAGTTATAAAAATAAATATTTATTAAGTATATAAATATACACAAATCGGTTTTATTTAAAATGTATACAATCCTATTTTATCTATATTTTTTTATAAAATCGTTTTTGTTTATATTTTTTTTATAAAAACATGTTTGAATAACTTTTATATAATACATGTTTGTATACATTATATAAAATGTATACAAACACAATTTTATAAAATATATGCATACACGTATTATATAAAAAATTATTCAAACACGTTTTTATAAGATGTATACAAACATGATCTGATAAAATGTATATAAACATGTATTTATATATATATATATATATATATATATATATATATATATATATATATATATATATATATATATATATATATATATATATATATGGGAAAACTACAATAAAGTCCCTATATATTGGCCTCATAATCGATTTAGTCCCCATATATATATTTTTTATTCAATTAAGTCCCAAATACCGGTAATCGTATTCAATTTAACCCTTTGACCCGGTCAACAGGTCATCCAACTTTCAAAAATTACATTTTTGGCCCAGATTTCAAAATTTATTACAAATCTGGTCCAAAATTTACACTTTTGGCCCATATTTTAAATTTTGTTACAAATTTGGTCCAAACTTAAACCTTTTTGCCCAAATTTTAGAATTTTATTATGAATTCATCCTAACTTTAGTTTTATTTACAATTTTTTTTTTCTCAAAGAATTGTTTCTAATATGTTTTTTCTTTATAAAATCATATTTATACAAGAAAAACATATTTTCACTTACAAATCTTATATTTTCTATATAAAAACTTTTTTAAAATTTTTTTTTATATATGAAATATATAGTTATAAAAATAAATATTTATTAAGTATATAAATATACACAAATCGGTTTTATTTAAAATGTATACAATCCTATTTTATCTATATTTTTTTATAAAATCGTTTTTGTTTATATTTTTTTTATAAAATCATGTTTGAATAACTTTTATATAATACATGTTTGTATACATTATATAAAATGTATACAAACACAATTTTATAAAATATATGCATACACGTATTATATAAAAAATTATTCAAACACGTTTTTATAAGATGTATACAAACATGATCTGATAAAATGTATATAAACATGTATTATATAAAAAATTATTCAAACACGTTTTTATAAAAAAAAAATATAAACAAACAAGATTTTCTAAAACAAATATAGATACACACCTATTTGTGTTCATATATATATATATATATATATATATATATATATATATATATATATATATATATATATATATATATATATACTAGTAGGGTACCCGCGCGTTGCGGCGATGTCGGATGGTTTTTTTCGCCGGATAGTTTCCATGTGGCTATTAGTTCCCTTTTCGTACCGGATAGTCCCTTTTGGTCTTTTGTGCGAACTCTTTTGTGAGAGATAATCCCTTTTATATTCTAGGTTGATGTGTAGATGTGCAATGCGTTATCCGGAGAATAGGTTTTGCAAGCTAATTATTTTATTTCTAAGAATATTTTTCATTTTTTCTTTAGACATGGTTTTTCAAGTTAAAAAGAAAAATATGTAATCAAATTAGAATAAAAAGAAAAATATGTTGAAATTTTGGCAAAACACTTGTCGATCAAAGTCAGTGGTATGTTGCATTGCATATGTTTTTTCTACTAATAGTTTATGAGCAACGATTAATTTTCTTCTAACGATCTATTTTGGAGTTTTTTAGAGAGAGTGTAACTATAGGTGTTTTGAACCGCCATATTTTGTACCAAAATAGTATTGGTTTTTTTTTTAAATGAAAGTCAATTCCCATAATGTAAATATTACTTCAAAAACAAAAGAATATATCGACAAATAGTGCCATTAATTATATCTGATACAATAAATTCATGTTTTCTTTTGTTAAAATTAAAAGCGTATTGTATGTTGCCGGCTTTAACAACATCAAGATTACAAATAAACTATTGTATGTTCTTGCTTTAACATCAACGTGAGAATATACTTTTTTAATTATAAGCATTATTCGCACAATAATTCATTTTTGAAATATATATCTTTCTTTTGTATTTAATAATAAAAAATTATGTTATATGTAATAAAAAAAAAAGATAAAATCATATAAATAATCATTATGGTTTACCAAAAATTACAAACTTAGTAGATTATGGTTCATTGGCTTCCATGTTTGTTAATGTAGTTATTATTTATAAATAATACTTGAAATATGAATATATTCCAACACTAAAAGATCTTGTAATACATATATTTTGACAATTCACACACATATCAATATTGACAAACACAATACATCATTGTGAATTAATTACAAAATTTACATATAAAACAAAATTGGGAATATTCAAATATACCATACAAACCATACATTTACCATCTACAAACCTTCACCGTGTATTTGTTAAACCCGTCATACAACAAAAAATGAAATACACTTGGGGAAATAAAGTTACAACATGAGAAAGACATACAATTCAAACAATGAAGATGTAGATTTCAGTTGATTCCTACTTCAAATCATCAAGTAAATCTGTAGACGTCGAAAGAAACCATCAAATTCAAAACCAACAAATATAAGGATGTTAGACTTATTAAGCTTTTCAGCTTATTGGTTATAATTACATATAAAAGTAAAAAGTAAGAAGTAAGAAGTGTTATCTTGTAATTCATGTTGATTTCATGGATTGTAAGGTAATACTTTGTGTAGATTGTTCAGTCTTATAAAGCCAAAGCATAAGCATGCAACAAAGGGTTGTACCTTGTGCATATTAGTAATTCAGTATGTAAAACCTTGTAGAAATAACATGTGTTTCCATACATTACTCCAATGTAAAACCTTGACATCATCAAATTTAGTATAAATCAAGATGTATGATGAAAACAAATAGTATGCAAGCCATATAAGTTTGTACTTAAAACCCAACTAATATTTTAATAAAGTCTTACCATGTTTGTTATTTTAAGAAAAAAATCATAGTTTAACTGAAAATTTGTTAACTTTATGCACAAAAGGTGAGAGCTTTCGGCCAAGAAGTGTAAAAGCCACCAAAGTTTGAGACACGGCCAAACCTTACTATAAGATTGATTGTATGAACAGATTATACATACTCCCCTGAGATGTTGGTAACATAATAACCAACCAGTAATAATTGCAATTTAAATAAAGAATGGTGCTAAATGTGATCCTATAATTTATTCAAAAACTTCAGAAGCATAGAAATATCAAATAGTGTAAGGCTCCATAACACCCTCAATAAAATTAGGATTTTGATTAATCTTGAACACTTTGCAACAAATTTTATACAGGTATGAGTTGTATCTGTACAAACATTGAACCCCGGCCCAAATAAAGAATATTAGACTTGATATAAAAGGTAGATTGGTAAAAATGCATCTCGTTCTCACCTCCTTTTCACATGAAGAATCCAATAAGTACAAAACCAAATTTTTTAAAGAGATGCAACATATAAGAGCTGTGAGAAAGAATGAAGCTACTCACTTTAAGAAAATTAATGTATACTAATTTAAGATACAAATACTTATATGAGCGACAAATAAGCAGAGAAAGAGAATAAGGGGAAGATAAACCTGACAATTCGTTAAACCACTATTAGTTTGCCTTTATCCAGCAACCGCCAAAACCCTAGAAATAAATATTAATGCACAATCATGCTAAGATAAACATGAATAACAAGAAACTTGTTAACACATAAAAATTATAATGTATTTGTAGAAAATGAACTTTTCTCGTATCTGAAAGAGGTTACTGCTGGTGGGATGTTCGGTGGTGGTGATTAGTGGCCTTTGGGTTTCAAGCCGTCGGGATCTTTTAATTTTCCAAATCAACACTATCAACAACACAAATCTATTTTCCTGGCTGTAGAATGAAAACTTGTAGGCGTGTGTGTATTGTTGAAGGCAGAAAGAGATGTTGATGATGAGACCCAAAGACAGAGGGGGTTTACAAAGTTTTTTTGAAGTGGGGTGATTGGAGGACATTGACGGGTCTGAAGGTGGTCGGTGTCGTGCAACTGATCGTGGTATTGGTCTACCATGGTAAGTAGTAAAGGTTATAGTGGTGGTAAAGGTTGTCGGTAACGTATGAGAGAAGGAGGAGGGCTATGGATTCTTTTTGAGATACCGATTTTCGGTGAGAGAGAGTTCTGAGAGTTGGGTGGAGGTGTTCTGTATACCAATTTAATTAAGCAAAGTAGAAGGATGAATAACCGTTGATTATAGTAGTGGATCAACGACCCCCAACTCACACATGCCGATCTGTGTGAAACACATGTGGCAATCCACGTGAAAGGGCTATCTTGAGCGGGAATATGAATCACATGACGATCAACTTAGTAAGCTTTTTTTCAAAAAAATTTGAAATTTTATTTTCTATATACTTGAGCGGGAATATTTTCTGAAACTCCGGATTTTAGTCTAAATTAGTCAAACTTTGCATATTTGTACCTCTTTGTTTTAAGATCATATGCTTTATTTGTTGTACATTGTGCTTGATAACTTGTCTTTAAGACTTTGATTATGTATGCTTTATAAAATGGTATATATATATATATATAGAGGTGATAGGCGTTTGTTTACATTTTTTTTTTGTAATATACATTTTTTTATAAAAACGGATTTGTATATATTTATATACTTAATAAATATATAGTTTTAGAACTAGATATTTCATATACAAAAAATTTTAAAAAAAAGTTTTGTATATAGAATTTATAAGATTTTTATTTGAAAATACCTTTTTTTGTATAAATATGATTTTATAAAGAAAAACATATTTGAAACAATGTTTTGAGAAAAAAAATTAAGGTGAGGATGAATTCGTAATAAAATTCTAAAATTTGGGCAAAAAGAGAAAATTTTTAACCAAATTTGTAACAAAAATTAAAATATGGGCCAAAAGTGTAAATTTTGGACCAACTGTGTAATAAATTTTGAAATTTGGGCCAAAAATGTAATTTTTGAAAGTTAGATGACCTGTTGACCGGATCAAAGGGTTAAATTGAATACGATTACTGGTATTTGGATTTAATTGAATAAAAAAATTATATAGGGATTAAATCGATTATGAGGCTAATATGTAGAGATTTTATTGCAGTTTTCCATATATATATATATATATATATATATATATATATATATATATATATATATATATATATATATATATATATATATATATATATATATATATATATATATATATATATATATATGGGAAAAGTGAATATACCCTTAAGGGTATATAATCTTAGGTACCCAAACTCATCATATAACGTCGTTTTGTATTATATATATACATTGTAATTGTCTAATGTTCTTATAATTCAACTTCTAACTTGATATCATTCAAAGATTTTTATAAGTAAATGTAAAAATTAAATAAATTAAAATGAATACTAAACAAAAAGAAGATAATTATTTTTGTAATGGCTCTTTTGAAATGCTTGTGATACTTGAAATTCAAGTCTCACGTGGCATTGCAAATGAATATTGATACATTTGAAAGACAGATGAGAGTGGTCTACGGAGCGGTGTGAATGCCTATAAACAAATATTACATTAGCCCAATAAATAAATATATGAAAATAAGTTTTATACTTTGCACTTACCCTAAAATCAAATTGAAAAGTAAAGCAACAAAATTGTGGGTCTTTGGATCGATTAGGTACAATTCAAAACTAATGATATCCCAACACCAAAAAGACTCGTAGAAATACAATAACAAGTTTTTTACAATACAGTTTTTTAAACGATTCCCAACTAAAACATTCAAAAATTCAAAAATTCAAAAAAAAAAAAACTAGTTTCCCTGTCGAATTCGCTTAATTCTTTCAAGTGCAGCATCACCATTTTCATTATCTTTTTTCACTTGTTCTTATTCTTCATCTCTTTTTCTCACAAGTCCTCCAAAAACAGCTTCCGGAACATCTTTCTATGAGATCTCAACTTTCCCATCATCTTCTTCTTCATCATCACTCTCCGGAAGCTCAATCTCTTCCTGGTTTTGGATTCCAGAGGCGGTTCCCGATGACTGTACACCGCCACTAACAAATCCAAGCTTCCGGTTGCTAGAATCCATGATTGTGATGATTGATGTGATTGTAAGGGACCTCCAAATTTAGAAACATACTATAACTATCGTATAATTTTTTTAATAGAAGTATTTTTATGTGTTATTATATTAAAATAATTAGTCATGGCAATTAGTCTTGCACAGTGTAACATTTGATCTTTGAACCCATCTTAACTAAAAAAAATAAAAGAACCAACAAAATAATTAAAATATTATTATAAAATACAAATCCTAAACCATTGAGTTTATCAACAATTTAAAAAAAAAAAAAAAAAAAATGAATCACACCATAAATTAAGAAAACAAAACTAATCGAGCTTTTGAAATTGTAGAAGTTTTGTATAAATTTATTGATGAAGAGACATGTATAAAGATAAAAAGTAGTGTTATTTGTTTAGTCAGAGTATGAACTAGACATATTTGACTTTATCAATGGTATCATAATATGACATTATATATTGCATAAAGTAAACAACATGAACATGCAAATACAATATGAAAGTATATGTATCGCAATGAATAGTGTGTAAACATTTATGGAGTTTTTAAAAGAGTGCATGCACCATAGTTTTTAGAAGGTTTTAAATTGTGTCATAGCTATAGCTTCTGATTTAGGAATTTCTCTAGTGTTTGTTGAGAAAAAAAGGAAATTTTAAAAAAGAAATTTTGATGAGAATGTTGTTGGTTCATCGGAACTAGTATATGTAATTTCACGTTAAAAAGTATTATGGATTGATAATTTTGTGTGCATAGTTTGAGCAATACAAGCATCCTTAAGATATTTTTAGATCTAATTCACAACAAAATAGTTGAAATTATTAAATACTGATAAAATAAAGTCCAATTTGCAAAAATCTTGAAAAAAAATGTTACAAAATAACCACATATCAGACATCGATGGTGATGATTTATTCAACGAATTGAAATTGTTCAATATATATATATATATATATATATATATATATGTTCATATGAAACGGTTTAATTTTGTGAGACCGTGAGACACAATCTTAACCACTCATTTTGTATATAAAAAACATTTTTAAAATGCAAAATAATTGATAATTTTCGAAAAAAAAAACTTTCAGTTACTATTTTCGTCATTTATATTTTCCAAAAAAATATTAAAATGAAAAATACATTTTTTACATACTCTAGTAGAATGTTATAATATTTTACATATCTAACAAATCTAGTAGAATATTCTAACATTCTAAAAATCACATTAGAATATTTCACGTATTTTTCATAAAAACGGTAATTTTATTTTTATTTTTTTATTTTTTTAGGTAACTAAAGTGACGAAAATAATAATTAAAAAAAGAATTTTCGAACTTTAACTTTAATTTTACATTTTAAAAATATTTTTAGATTTTTTCTCAAATGAACCATATATATATATATATATATATATATATATATATATATATATATATATATATATATATATATACCCTTAAAGGTATATAGGGTTACGGAACAAACTCATTATAATACGTCGTTTTGTATCATATATGCATTGTAATGTCGTTAAACATAAAACTCAAACATGATTTAGTTTAAAATTTTCAAAATTTTACTATTATCTTCATGTTACAGAATATTTTTATATTGAACACCTAACAGACCATATATATATATATATATATATATATATATATATATATATATATATATATATATATATATATATATATATATGTCACACCCCCAAACCAGAACGGCGGAAACATTCGGGGGCGGATGATTTCATGTGGTAACGTAATAAACAAATACATAGTAAAGAAAGCAATACAACCATCATGTATATAATTGAAAGTTTACATTGTTTAAAAGAGCACATGTTCAAAACCAATTACAATATGATGTCAAAATATGAAATTAAACTGGCGTCGCAGCGTCCCTTCTCCAAAACCTGTTTGTTACTTGTAATTATTGAATCCCTAGGACATACAAGTAGTTTTGAAAGAGTAGATCAGCATTTAAGCTAGTGAGTTTCATAAGTATTTAATGACAATGTTTGTATGAAATGAAATGTTTTTGTTTTTGTTTGTTTGTTCCTAGAAAATCCTATATTTTCTACTAGTATAAATGTAGCCTTCTTTCAAGACCAATGTTTGTTTCTAGTCAATGTATGTACGTATAAAATGTCCAATACGTCTGAAAAACCCCGTAAATCATTGTGTTTTTAATACTCTATGTCAGTTTTATAACCATACTATTGACAAGGAATGCCTATACACAACGTTCTTCAGGCGTTGGAATGTTCTGACGTTTGTTACCCCAAATCGTGGACTGTAGCTAACAGTCAGGGCGCGGGTTGTCAAGCCCGTATAGATCTATACACAAACACCATGCTCCCCCTCCAAGGGATTCTGGTATATAATACAGGACTTGAAATGTGTACTCGAACGTAGTTGAAGTTAATGTCTCACAAAACTTAGTATAAAACAGATTTACGTGTGCAGACGTTCGTTCGTTATTGTATATGAAAGTAGCTTCTTGAAATAGTATTTCCATGTATGTAAAAGTTCGTAGTATTCTCGTAAAACTATGCCTATTATAGTTTTCTAAAAGTGTGTTTCGTTCGTATAATAAACTCTTAGTGAAAATGTTCACTTGTTATGAAAAGCGTATTTTTTGTAGTGCCAAAACCGACACACAGAAATGTAGTATAAGCAAAGTATCTGATTTATATAAATACGTAAATCGTTTCTCATTTCAAAAGATAAAATGTTGTCGTGGTATAATTTGCATATGAAAGTTTCCTTATAATAGTTTTAAATCACATATGATTCCTTTGATAAAACGCGTATAGTGAAAGTTTATATAATACACGATAATAATCGACTGTTTTACTTGTATTCCCCCCTTAAAAGCATGTAAAAGTACTCATAAAACATTTAAAAGTGTGAATTATAGGGGTATGAACTCACTTGTAAGATCGGAGGTTGCAGGAAGAAAACCGGACAAAATTCCAGCTCGAGAAAGTGGATTTCCTCGGGATTCTCGGGAATCTCAGGAGCACAAACGACCTTCGGGACTTGAGCAAAGTGATCGGGGATACGGGGTATCACGGGCACGGAAAACGAGGCAAGAACATAAGAGAAATGAGAGAAATGGTGTCATTTCTCCGGAACCCTCGCATCCCTTTTATAGGGGCTGGGAACCGACCTCGTACGCTGGGCGTACGCGTGTACGTTGGGCGTACGCGTGCATCATGCGTGACCGAGTCCTCGACTGCCTTGGAGCTCGGATGGGACGGGGCATAGCCTCGCACAGGCGCGACGTGGACGATCCGAGGCCAAGGCCTCACGTACGCTAGGCGTAACTTGGCCCTATCTGGTGACTCCCCTTCGGATAATACCAAGGGTTTTTAATTAAATTTATATTTTAATTATTTAATAAACTTCAAAAATTCATATCTTCTTCATACAAACTCCCTTTTCGACGTTCTTTATATCCACGCGAAGGTGAGACCATACTCTACAACTTTCGTATAGATCCCGTTGGCAAATTCTGAAATTATTTTTATTATTTATTTTTTAAAAGGTCGTGGTAAGAAAATTTCTTTAGAAATTCATAACTTCTTTATCTGACGTCGGTTTTTGCCAGACTTTTTACCGCTGAAATACCATTGTTGAGACCTTCGATTCTCGTTTAGGTCATTCCGGCCAAAAGTCGCTCGATCTCTGATTCGAGTTTTTCGCCGTCTGCCGTTAAGCCAAACTTGAAAAATTCATAACTTTCTTATACGAAGTCAGATTTAGGCGTTCTTTTTACGTACGATCGCGGTTTAATGACATCTAACATAATATGTAATTTAATTAGTGATTTTTTGATATTTTATTTTCGAAGTTAATTTTATTACAACTAACGTGGTTACAATACTTGACTTTTTAGGTCGTTTACATGTAGTTGAAATATTGGGTTGTCACATCATCCCCCTGTTAGAGGAAATTTCGTCCCGAAATTTAAAGCAAGAAAGATACAAGTGAATCAAAGAAAAAGATGCGGGTACTTTTGTTTCATCTGATCTTCGCATTCCCATGTGAATTCAGGTCCTCGCTTGGCGTTCCAGCGGACTTTCACGATGGGTATGCGACTTTGTTTCCTTTGTTTGACCTCTCGGTCCATGATCTCTACTGGTTCTTCCATGAAGTTGAGGCTCTCGTTAATCTCGATCTCGTCGAGTGGGATAACAAGAGTCTCATCGGATAGACACTTTTTCAAATTCGATACGTGGAAGGTTGGGTGTATGTTACTAAGTTCATGTAGTAGATTAAGTTTGTAAGCTACAGGGCCGATTCTGGCGAGAATCTCGAAAGGCCCTATGTACCTTGGATTTAGCTTTCCACGCTTTCCAAAACGTATTAAGTCTTTCCATGGCGAGACTTTCAATAGAACAGGGTCTCCTACTTGGAATTCCAAAGGTTTTCTCCGTTGGTCAGCATAGCTTTTCTGTCGGTCTTTAGATGCTTTCAACCGTTCACGAATCTGAACGATCTTCTCTGTCGTTTCTCGTATGATTTCCGAACCGGTGAGAGTATTTTCAGTATCTCGTCCTTTAGCTAGTTGTGTGTCGCCAACTTCGGTCCAGCACGGAGGGGATCTGCACTTGCGGCCATAGAGGGCTTCAAATGGAGCAGCCTTTATGCTCGTATGATAACTATTGTTGTATGAAAATTCGACAAGGGGTAAATGGATATCCCATGCCTTTCCAAAGTCAATCACACAGGCTCTCAGCATATCTTCCAAAGTTTGTATCGTTCTCTCACTTTGCCCGTCTGTTTGTGGATGGTAGGCTGTATTCATGTCTAATCTAGTCCCTGGGGAACTTTGTAGTGACTGCCAGAACCTTGATGTAAATCTACTATCTGTATCGGAGATAATGGACATCGGAACCCCATGCAATCGTACTATTTACCTTATGTAAGTTCTTGTAAGCCTTTCCATCTTGTCAGTCTCCTTGATTGGTAGAAAATGCGTCAATTTGGTCAATTTGT